TTTGATAAACGACGTCCATCGAAGTGTACATGGCTGCTCTGTGCTCATTGTGCCACAAGGTGGCCACATTGTGTCATAGATAATTTAGAAATATGGCTTTGAGGATTTTGGGGACTGTTTTTTACATTTAATGATAATAAAGGGAAGATTAATTTGATACGATTTAATATTAGATTAAGTATAGTTAGTGCCCTCTCTTGTAAACTTAAAAATCACCACACTGATTTGCCAAAAAAATAAAAAGAAGTGATGAATGTTTATACACTAAAAAGCCTAGAGATAATTCACCAGAATGCTTTTTTTTGCCCACTTGCTGAAGTTATAAGAGAATGTTTTATAGGGGGGGAAAAAAGCTTGTGAACTAAAATGATAAAATAAAAAGAAGTGATGAATGTTTATACACTAAAAAGCCTAGAGATAATTCACCAGAATGCTTTTTTTTGCCCACTTGCTGAAGTTATAAATTATTGAATGTTTTATAGGGGAAAAAGCTTGTGAACTAAAATGATAAAATATTTTTGTAGCTTCAACTTCACCTTTAGGTTACTTGAGTCTGATGTCATATCCTGCAGGGCACTGGAAAGTCTTTGGCAAAGTTCCCAGCAGCGCACCCTCCTGGGGCTGATTCAGCCTCAGTTCCCAACCAGAAATCCTGGACGTCTGACATAAAACAGGCCCAGCTCTGTCTCACTCTTTCTCCCAAGGCCATTACAAGTCAGTCTCACCCTAAGTTGTACTGCAAATCTTCTCCGGTGCTGTTCTTTTGGCTTCTCTCAGACAAATAAGACATTTTTTTTCCCTCAATCCTTTTCTTTTACCATCTCTGTCCATAGTTTGTAATTGCTTGAAGCAGCATGGGGAATTAGGTAGCTAATGGATGAACACTTTATAATTTAATGTATTGTCTACTTTCATAGCAACGCTAGTGTTTTTCTGACCTTGTCAGAACATGTCAAACTTCAACACCTAGTAAATTAAGGACACGGCTGTAGTTAAAACAGCAGCAGGCTGTTTGAAGCCTCAATAGTAGTAACTAACAATAATGTTAGCAAATTTGATAATGTTAAAAAAAAAAAAGTTATAAAAAATTCTGACCTGTGGCTACTAATGTTAGCATCCTAGGAAACAACATCTATTCCAGATCCAGAAACCACTTGTGGACCACTCTGGTAAATTCCCAGTAGACCTCACTCACCCAAAGTGAAGAGTAGATTAAACATTCCACATGCAGGGAAAAATAACATTCTACTTGGACCCCACGGTTCAACAGTTTGGTCTCCTAAACTTTATCTTAGAGGTTGAGAGAAAAGCTTGATTCTGAGGTGAATTACAAACCCAGTCGACACCTGGTAAATCTATTCTGGAATGCTCAGGACTCGAAGGCAGAACTCACATTACCCTAACTGTAGAGGGTGGTTTTTTTACATTTTATTTTCTGAGTATTTCTTCCGCTGCCCGAACATATTTACAGATAGTTTGGAGTTTTGGGCTCTGAGTGCTAACTCTACTACTAGCATTCTGCCACAACCGCAACCGACTTGTGCCCGACTGCAATCAGATGGTTATACTTGACATTAGCTCTGGCTGTATTTTAAACTAGCTAACACTTTCTGTATTGAGAGCCCTTATAATTGCTGTCCATTTAAGAAAACAAAACATTTGTAATAACTTATTGCTCATTTAAGAAAACAAAACATTTGTAATATCCTCGTTTATTTTTCATGCATTGCAGCAAAACAAAAAAAGGACAAAATGTAAGATTTACTGTCAATGTAGCTGTAACTAAAATGGTTGAGGATAAGAAGTACCGTAGCTAACGTTGTTTCTTCAAATCCTTTTGGTACCAGCGCAGGAGCTAAAGCAAATGAATGAATGGCATCAAAAAAAAAAAAAAAAAAAAAAAAAAAGCAAAAAATATCAGAGAGTAAAAAGGCTGATTTCAGTATTTCATTTATTTCATATAAAAAAAAAAGGAATGAAATTACAAAAGCACACGTTCATGTACCAACATTAGTGTTTCAAATTGTACCGGTTTTAACACAGTGCTACTAGACACACAAGGCTATTATTGCACACGAGACATTTCATACGGACACGGATCACGCAAACTGTACAGAAGATACATACATGTACACGTACATTCATACATACTGTAGTTCTTATTTAACATAGACATTAAAATGATAGGTACATACGTAGATTCACACCACTCTGTGTCTGGTGGGGGGGAGAAAACATCACCAAAGCTGCCAAAGTGCTTTTCACAATTTCAACTCAGCCAAAAGCGTCAAATTTATTTGTGGGGGGGTCGCACAGGAAGGTTAGTGTAACCCCCGAACATCCGGAACCAGATAATACAAAATCCTGACTTCCTTTGGTCACAGGAAGTTGTGGACTTCCTCCACATCTCAACCAGCATGTCAATGCGGGGCCCGTATAGCAGTGGATTAACAGTCATTTGTTGCTCACATGGGTTCATCTGCTTGCTTGAAATAAACAGGCAACTCCAAAAAAATGTTTGATCATGTGGTATATGTCCTCTGTCACATGTCCAGAATAAATATATTACATGGGCATTGGACCGATTTAGCTTTGTGGTCCACGCAAGTTACCAAATGTTGCCCACATCCCTTAAAATATAGAAGTAAAAACAATAGGCCGTCCACGTGTTTGTCTCATTCTTGTTGCAACCAAAAATGTAGTACCAAGTGTTGTACCACTTTACTTTGGTGATTTATCTGAATTGAATGCTAGTCCTCACTTAACTACGAGTAACGTTCCGAAGACCCCATCGATAAATTAATAAATCGTTAAACGAAACCCACGTTGACCGACAAATTTGCCATTTCTTTTATTCTGTTGTTGCCCTTAACGACGGTTGCGACTGTCGAACGTGAGAAGCCATAACTGTTAGCGATCGCTTGGACTATTTACCTCCCTCGTACTCCTTTGTTATTCTTATTTTTACGTCTAGATCGATGCAGGAGAAGATTTAGTCTTACGTTTTCCAGATATCGTGAGGAAACGAAATTGTTCTATATTGTAATTACTTTACGAAATAGAAGAGAACTCTTAGTGCGATACTGTTTGGCAGCGCGGGAGACTTATGGGGGAAGTTGGTGAGATGGGAGATGCTAGCGCTGCGTGTTGCGCTAAATCCCGTATCTCGTACATCACTCACAACTCGGCTTGTCGTAACAGATATTCCTTGTTGCTAAACACATACTTTTAAAATTCGGAAAGCCCGTCCTAACAATGCGTTGTTAAGTGAGGACCAGCTGTAATAAATTATTGAAAGTCAGATTCATCTGCAGTACAGGAGGTGCCCGACTTGTTTTATCTTAAGCCAATGAGTAATGAGTTTTTTTTCCCACGCCAATGGGCCCAACATACAATTGCCGGTTGAGAAGCAACTTATTAATTTTTAGATAAGATGAGAATCCTTATGGATAAAATAAAACATGAGCCACAGTACAGAGTTAACCATCTAAGCAGACATTTGTTCATGGTGCTATATGCGAATTCACAACAGGGGGGGGGGGGCGAGGGGGGGGCTGACCCCATTCACCCCACTTTCTGATCATCGGCGACTTGGTTAAAAATAATCAGATAATCAATAATACTGTCATCAAAAGGGCGCCTAGCCCCGATAAAAAACACTTCATACGTACATTCAGCCTATGAATCCCCCAGGAGGAAGGCACAGTCAGACCAATAGTACTGCGCTGCTACAATACTACAAGATTGCTGATTGAGAGGACACCTGCATGCTCCTCCTGTTATCATTATTATAGTAAGTTATTATTATTATTATTATTATTTGTCTTGTCTGCTGTCACTCAGTGAGAATTCATCAGTGCCGACTCACTTCAGGAACAACGTACTAGCTGACTGGGTTTTCCTCCAGAGTAGCTTTGGATACAAGAGACAACAACAGTAAAAGTAGGAGGGACAGACGGGAAGGACAGATGGGACAACAGTTAGATAGTGACGGTAACCATAGCTGGAATATATCATACACATTAGTGCTTACAAATGAGTTCATGCAGCTAAATGTTAGCGGAGTTATCCAATGGCTAATGCGGAGGTTATATGGGGGAAGGGGGGACATATTGTGTCGTATATAGACCGGTGTTTGCTGCCTCAGAGACTTGTGGTCCCAGAACCTAGAGAGCATAACCAGCAATTTCCCAATTTTATAACGAGCAATTCTGCGAGCTTTGCGTTGATGTACCACGTCGAGCTCTGTCACTCAAGCTGTCAGTATCTCCTGATTGGTTCCCGCATTGTGCTAATTGTGTATTGAGTTTATATTGTGTTGATATATATAAATATATATAAACATATATACATATATGTATACATACATATATACATATATGTATACATATATATAAATATATACATATATTTATACCTAAATATATATGTGTGTGTGTGTGTGTGCTTGTGTGAAAGCTTGTGTGAAACTTGAAATTGACGGCGTTGGACCAATGTATTCCTAAATGCTGCTCCCAAATCGCCATTTCCCAAATGAAGCGTAGGATTTTTCTGGACTAATGTGGAATAATATATTTTGATAGGACAATATACAATCAATCAAATGTATGCACTTATTGTACATGCACTGAGGCATTAAAAGCATTTTTATTTTATAACATTACTTTCTGCCAGGCCCTTTATCAGGGATCGCCAGAGAAGTAGGATTTGGGTACGAGATTGGTATAAAGCCCAGAGCCTCCTGGTGGCGAGGTGTAGGTCTTGTCTTTCCACCATTCTGACAGACGGCAGACCCGGATAATTTAAATATGGATTATTTCCGTAGAGCTTCAGAATCGAAAATGAACTGCATTCGGAAGCTTTAGGTGTTGAAGTCGGCTGTTAAAGATTCTTTTTTTTTTTTTTTTAGATTAGCATGTAAACGGCAAAAAAAAAAAAAAAAATCCCCTAAGATGTCGATAAACGTTCGAACTTCAGTTAAAAAGTGACCTCCCAAGCACTTTTTTCTGCAATAGAGTGACGTTTTCAAAGCAATAAATATGAAGAGTGAATCTTTTTGTGCTAGCCTTTTCTTCATAGGTCACCACTCCAGATTGTGTGCTAATAGAATTCAGCCAAAATATCTGTGCAGGGTGCAATTCTTGATGCAACCACTATTTTTTTTTTTTAAGTAAGAGCAACCCACCGAACCTTTGGTATCGTGTACAACTTAAGTAAAATTTGTAGCCCAGGGACACATTGGCATGTAGTCGAACCTAAACTCTCTCTCTTGTGGTTTTAGAACCACGCCCTCTTCATGTTCATCTCTCAGCCAATGAACTCACCCAAACGTGACACGTTGGTCCTTTAAACCAGGCTAAAATGTGTGTAGAGAGAAATATGCAGACAGGCGTATACCCTAACACGGAATGGCAGTCCATTTTTTTTTTTCAAGAAAACAAAGTCCAACAGAGACAAAGCACATTTTCACATTTCAGAAAGTCCTCAGCTTTTAAAATCACTTACATTGTTTTTTTTTTGTGTGTGTATGTGTGTGGCATTGTCGACGCTTGTGTGTTCACACAGTTGAGGGCGCTCCCTCTGGCCGCTCACGGTCTCTCTCTCTTCCGTGATCTTACAATCGAATTCACACATCGTTATCACATCATCATCGCGATTGGCTCCGTCGCGCTAGACGCAGGTCGTACAGTCTTGCATGATCGGCATGGTCTGGTGTTCGTGTTTGTGCGTGCACTGCTCCAGAGAGCTGGAGCTCTTGAGCGGCACCAGGCAGCGATCGGCGGGTCGCCCGCTGTTCAACACCCCCCAGCAGCACAGCACGCGCAGGAACTCCTTGCGCATGTCCTTGCTGCGCAGCGTGTAGATGACGGGGTTGAGTGCCGAGTTCAGCGTGGCGAAGCCGAAAAAGATCTCCGCCTTGGACAGGATGTGGCAGAACTGTATGCCGCACGACGAGTCCAGGAGGAGGATGATGAAGGCGGGCAGCCAGCACATGATGAAGACCCCCAGCACTATTGTAACTGTTTTCAGAAGCGCGTAGGCCTGGGAGTTGGCAGCCTCCTGGTGGCTGGAACGCACGATCAGGTAGATCTTAACGTAGAGGATGACGATGGAGAGCAGAATGAGGCTGAAGATGGTGACCACGAACACGATATACTTTTTGGCGTAGAGAGGCAGCACGGCCGAGCACTCGGGCAGGTCGTTTATGCAGTTCCAGCCGATGATAGGCAGCCCTCCGAGAAGGATGGAGGTGACCCAGCAGGCGCCAATCAGCAGAAACATGCGGCAGGTTTTGGTGGAGCCGTACACCTTCACCTTGGTTATGGCTATGTAGCGCTCGATGGCGATCGCCAACAGACTGAAAACGGACGCCGCCAACGCGATGAACGCCGTACCCTCGCGGATGAACCATTGCACCGGCACCAGTTTGAAAGTGTTCGACCCCGACAGGAAGATGTTGGCAATGTACGCCGACCCCGCCAGCAGGTCCGAGAAGGCGAGGTTACCGATGAAGAAGAACATGGCCGAGTGAAACTTCTTGTTGCGACAGACGGCGATCAGGACCAGCAGATTTTCCAGGATGATGACGGTGCAGAGAACCACGATGACAATGTTGAGTGTGGTCAGCTGCTTTTTGTTCTCGATGCGCTTGTCCAGTTCCTGGGTGGTCATGTTCTTGGCGTAAGCATAGTAGGAGTGGATCAGGGTCTGATTGTAGTACTGGGAATACTTGCTCTTCATGGCGGCAATGGGGTGGCAGAGCACAACGGCTTTGCGACAAACATTCATTCACACGGCCGGGTGGTTAAGAACATCTGTGACGATGCTCTTCTTCTCTCGCGACGGGACAGGGGCCTGGGAGGGAGAAGGCCTGCTCCACAGTCACGTCTCTGCAGCTCTCGGTGGTCACCTGCGTAAAAACAGACACAGAGGGGGTTGAATTTCTTTCTCGTGGACCCACGGTTAGACCGTGACAAAGCAAACACGCTTTTATTTTCAGAAAGGCGGAGCCCTTGCAAAATCAAAACAAATGCTCTCGGAAACAAAGATGGCCTCAGTGCGCTCGGGGGAAACCAGAAACCAAACGTTTGCTGTGATTCACCTAAAGCAGACTCGATCGTTTCAGAGCTCTAAAAAAAACTAGCGGTCCCTGACCTTTTTTTTGTACCAAGGCTGATACTGCTAATACCGCGCCCTCGTTGGAGGATCATTGAATTTTCAAAATAAAACATCTTGTAGACTTTCTTCTGTTAGTGTCAGAGTTGTTTTGAAACATTGACAGATTATCTTTGAATGAAAAAAGTAAAGGGATATGACTGGATTCTGAGTGGTCCCCAGACCACGGGTTAGGGACCATTGGTCTATGTCACGAGCCCTTGATATTTTATTGATTTCTCGCGTTACTTCTTTCTAATGTACTGTAGCTGTCACTCAGAGTTACCGCATCAAACCTACAACCTTGTGTCTTTTTCTAACAACCGACACAACCTACTGACCAGCACCGGTCCCTAGACCGGGGGTTAGGGACCCCCTCACCAATAGTTCAGTGGTTTGTTAGAGTTGGAAGACCAAAGGCATGTTTGGGACATTCCACCAACTCTGTCCCGGCACTCAGCGAGCCAACCTTTCCACTCCAGTGACCCACCTCTTGAAACTTCAGCATAGCATGTGGATCATCCTGATCCCTGACCCGCCCCCTGTGAAACCCCCCTCGCCCCCCCACCCTCTTGACAAGCTGAGAGCAAACTGAACCCATACCCAAACCATGGGATTACAGAGATTCTTTTTAAAAATAATTACGTTAAGTTTGATTAGTATCAAGCCATACAACAGAACGTCTTAGCCCACAAATGCATTATGGGTCGTATAAGTGCCTCGGAAATGTCGTTTGTTATGTTTTGTATTTCCCAAAATACCTACGATTTTGGTGAGTCTTGACATTACGAACTTTTAATCCTGACATGAATTCTCATTTGGTAAGAAAAAGTAAAAGGTCTTTTAGATTTTAGATATGACAATTTGGAATAATAAATAGTTATAACTGGATTGTAGAGGTCAACCACTGAGCTGTTGACATATTTTTTTAACTTTTACTTTTAATTCTAATATTTTCATACTGTAATAATGAAACTGTACTCACTTCCGATTTGCCGATACTGGCTTATTTGGTACCATGTGCCAAAAACATGATCCAAATGTTGAGACTCGTATGAAAATCTCCTCTTTGTTTAAAGAAATTAGGACTTATTTTTCTTTTTCACATGTGGGCCATTTGAGTGGGTCGTGGCCCACACCCAACCAACGAGGCAACTTTTTCTGTTTTCTGTTTTAGATATTCTCCTCCATTTGGCGACGATGAAGTTTCAAATCACATTGTTTTTATTTGAAATGCTAAAATGTTAGCTTAGCCTAGCCTTGAGAAATGTGTGGCTGTTTTAAACGGACAAACTAAGGCCCAGGGGCGGCCCGTTCAGCTTTTTAATCCGGCCCGGCAAACTTTTTCCAATCATTGTATCTTTTCCCTGCAATACTCATGTTTCCCCGATAGATGACGCTAAAAAGCTTAAAGCATTTTAGCATTTAGACATAACTTTAGCATGTCTTTTATCTTAGTTCACACTAACGCTCCATCTGAGTCAAAAGTTGGCCCACGCCGGGGCTAGAGGTTTGCAAACCAAATTAAGAGACTCTGGAGGTAGATGTGAAACCTTTCAGTGGTAACAAGATCCCTCCCTCGCTAAGCTAGTTACTGCGGTAATTCAACACTAATGGTTAGTCCTACTGGGCAGAATGTTGCGATGGACTCCACTGCTGCACCGTCCGAACTGCGGACGTTTATTAGAGACCGGGGAGGCACCTCTTCTCTTTTAAAACTGAATATAATCTCAACAGATCAGTCAGAAGGAGCATGCATGTGGAACGGCATCCGGACACAAAAGGCAGGAATCTGAGACGTCACTGTCTCCCTATGGTTATTGCGCCGTACTCCCCCTTGAGTTGAACAGAGACAACAAACTTCTCTTGCGCACAAACAGGGTATTGTGAGGAGAAAAGCGCGGCAGAGCATCTCTCCGCAGCTGCTATGCGCCGCCGGCAATACCCAGGCCTTCTTGTTTCCTCAAGCGGGAACAAAGAACAATGGTCTCCTTTTCACGCGACATCCTTCAAATGACACCGTTCGGTGTCTCGGGCGGGGCGGCAGCACATCCATCAGTCTGCGGCCGTGTCATATCAGAAATGTATTTACAGTCAAGTGCGCCCGGCGGAACCGGGCGGCTCTTTGTCCGCCGTCCTTTCTGGTTCCATTAATCCACACTAATGTGGATCTAGAGGCTGAGAACGTGGGCCAGCCGCTACCACATAACTGCGTTAGGTGTAATTACGCAGCAGAATCCTGTTTTATCAAATGGAAAAAGAAGAAGAAGAAGAAGAGCTTTCCACTGCATCTCTACCTACGTTGTTGTTAGGTACTTGCAGAAAGAGAGAGAGAGAGATTTACGTTTTTACCCCAGCTACATGAGCAGCACGCATGTTTCATTGTGACAAAATAATATTAAAACATAATAATAATACAACCCTATTTCAAGATATTCTGTATTCAAACCAGCAAAAAAAAAAAAAAAGTGGGGTGCCAAACATACGGCCCGCGGTCCAAAACCGGCCCGCTTGGGGTTTCAATCTGGTCCGCTTGATGAATTTAAAAAATTTAAAAAATTGCACTTTATGTTCAGGAATTTTTTTGTAAAATTATATTTCATTAAAATTAATACAAAAATAATTACAATAACATATAATTCAAATGTAGTTAATGGACTGGTCTGGCCAACTTGGGTATCGGTTTCAATTAGTTAGGAAGCCCGAAGTTCCTGTTTAGCTCAATTTACAAAAAGTGGCTTTTTGAGCATGATGTGTCTTTGTTGCCTGGAAATTAGTCCACATTTACTGTATATATAAATATTTCAACCACCAACCACCCACCTTCCTTCTTTCAGTGATTTCAAAAATCACACGAAAACCTGTTACCGATGCTGATTTCCTGCAGCCGACGTCGTCGACTAATCGCAACAAGATCGTGTTCACTTCGATCGTTGAGTTTTTTTTTCTTCGCGAACGTGACTCAACGTAGTTTAAAAACATTTCCCGACATCTGTCCGATTAAAGAGCTCGACTTAAAAAAGTTTGGACGGCCCTGATTTAATGACTGCTATAGATCCTTAAGTCGTAGGTCTATTAAAAAAAAAAAAAAAAAAAAAACAAAAATAATAAAAAAAAAAATGCAAAAAAATTTTTTGAGAAAAACACCCCCGCCTATCTACTGTCAATTGATTTTTTTATTAAATGTATAGAATTTTTTTTCTTTAATGAGGAAAAAAAATATTTGCACTAGTATTTTGTATTTTTATAAGTATTTATATTACATAAGAACCGCTTCTTCTAAAATACAGTTTTTGATTACAATGATTACTGACAGTACACCTGTGCCACGTTACGAGAGATCATGTGAGGTGTCATGACGTCACAGAATCAGTCACTTTCATTTCCCCTTTTTTTTTTTTTTTAAAGCTCTCTCTCCAGACGACTCTTTTCTGTCGATGTCTCAACGTTCTTGCCACCTGTCTGTCATCTGGGGGGGGGATTTCTTTGTCTGTGTCACAGAAACCTGAAGGGCTGGTTTGGCCTAAAGCGCACTCTTCTTGTCTTGTCACAGTCTCGACGAACCAACCCCTCCCGTCCACCTGTCGAGCAGGTGTCTCGGCCGTGATTGGATTAGACGTCACCTGCTGCATCTTACAGACCGTCAGAGTCACACTACGACAAAAAGGACACGGGTCGGCGGTGGCGACTGTCTCGCTGCCGCGCAATTTCGGCTAATGGTGGTCCCATTAACTAACCCTAAAGACAAAGTGTGAGAGAAGCTTAAACTACTTTCACCTGCTTTCAAGCTAACCTCTGCTGAAATAATGGGAGCTAGCTAGCTTGATTTTAGTCATAAGTCAAAACTTACGTTTACCTCACTTACGCTAACGCAGTGCTAACATCATAATCTAGGACAGGGGTCCGCGACGTTTTTGAAATTGAGAGCTACTTCAGGAGTTCTTAGTAATACGAAGAACTTCTTGTTTGACACAGACTTCCTGTACAAAGTAATAACAATCAAAAATAAGGCTAATGCTGTGTCGTCAAGTTCTGGGACATACGATGGAACCCATCTGAATATCACTGCAAGTGGAACTGATTCAAAAAGCACAGTAACAGTACAGTTTTCGACCCTTTTTTTGGCTAGTTTTTTTTCTTTTTTTCTTAAGTTAGACATGGGCAAACTACGGCCCGGGGGCCAGGTGAGGCCCGTTTAGCTTTTTAATCCGGCCCGCCAAACTTTTCCAAATTATATAATTGATTTATCTTATCATTATACTTCTGCCTTGTCCCTGCAATACACCCATTTCCCCCAATAGATGGAGCTGCTTAAAGCATTTTAGCATTTAGGCGTGACTTTTACATGTCATTTATCTGCCTTAGGTAGTCCACAGGGGCTACCAGGTGACCCCGGGCCCCACGTTGGTGACCCCTGATCTAGGACATAAAAACATCAGAAGAGTCTGACTTACGCCTGGGAGCCATAACGAACAAAAAGTCCCTCCCCCACCCCCCCCCAAAAAAAAAAAAAAAAACAACACGAAAGAAAGAAAGCAAACGTAGCAAAATCCAACGTATGGAGTGAATGTTAACAAAGGTGTCGTCTGTGTATGGCGCGGTGTAATGATGTATTTCGTCCACAAATAGTTCCCATGTGAACAAGCTGCTGGGTTTTTACACATCAGAATGATGGAACAAGACGTTGTTAATACATTTATGGGAGGTGGCGTATAAGTAACCGTATACGCGAAGAGCCTTGTAAACGGACGACCC